TTGGCTGAAGCATGCGGGTCAGTTTAGGAGCTCACTGTGCTGCTGGCGACATACGAAGATGTAGTAATTTTCTGGGCGTTCCATTACGGTCCGAGCTGTTCGTGGTTTGGACTTTGCAGGTCGAGTGTTTTTGAATCTTCTGTTCTGGGTCTCGGCATTTCGGGTCAACTTTCCTGCAGCTCCTGTTGTCAAGACTGGTAGGTACAGACCAATCATTGGCCGCAAAAGTCGACGCACGACGCTATCAGTTGACGCATGCTTCCCCCAACAACCTGGCAACACTTGAGGGCTCTGATGCTACGAGGTAAAATTGGTCTTCTTCGGTGTAGGCGTTAGTGCGTATGGTTGCGCGTGTTTCTCCAAAATCTCAGTGGGCCTTCTGCATGCGACAGACTGAAATACAAGCATACAAATATCGTAGAACTACCCCATATTTCTGGCAGCGAGCATTTGTCAGATAGACATAAGGAGAGCGACCTTCAGCTAGCTTCCTTAGAAATAACGATAGAAGTTACTGGCTATTCCTGTACAGTGTCTACCTCAAGGGGCAGCCCCAGCGATGTTCGACTACAGTCCTTTACCAGGCCCCGAAACAGCATTGCAATAGTTGCCTCGGCAGGCCTCGAGTTGAAGCATGGTGGAATATCGAAGGGGAGCCCAGTGCTAATGTGACATGTGAAGACTGCCACAAAACAACTGCTATACCCGTTCAACAGAAACACAGCGCGCACCAATGTTCAGCTGCATCCAGAGAAAACTGAAAATGTGCAGAATGACACGAACGAACAAATCAACACATGCCATAATAATTAAGGAATTCAAGAAGAAGTACTCCCAAACGTTGACGCGAGAACACCTTTTCCAACTGGCCTGACCAGCGCCTCCAACTCCTCTTCATCGGACTCGGGACTCACCTGGCAACCCCCCGGGCTTGGTTCCATGAGGCGGTTGGCGGAGCGAGATTTATGCGGCTTGGGAAGTAAGGGTTCTATAAGTAGTGCGTTGGAACAGCAGTATATAAACAGGAACATTCGAACATCTGTTGTCGTTGTTTCAAGTTTCGAACCCACAAATGAAACAGTAGTCTCAAACGCACAGTCCCACTCACCAGCGGTGTGTTTTCTCTACATCTCTTGGGTCGAAAAGGGTTGACCACACGTGACACAGATATATCAAAGCGAGTCCGAGCAGCTAAGGCGACGCTTTCTTCTGACGGGAGCTGATACATCTGAGCATAAGCTGTGCCCCACATGATGTTTCAGGTACTGGATACATAAATGCAGTTCTGGAATCGAGTGTAATGCGCATCAGCCGCCGTTGCCCTCGAGAGCATCATCAACATGAGCCCTCCATGCCCTCCAGCCATCGAGCAACAAACGGAGCATCATCGACATCAGCGGCCCTTTCACTAGAGTCCTAGAGAGATCCAAAGCACGAGCGTCATCGGCATCGCCGCACATGCCCTCCAAGCATCCAGGAACACCACGCGAGCATCTTCAGCATCAGTCGCGGTTGCTTTTGGTGCATCGACGCCCAAAGCACGAGCATCATGAGCAGCAGCCGCAGGCATCGAAGCACACACTGGGGTGCAGCATCAGCCGCTGTGAGCAGCAAGGGTATGTGTGCAGTGTACGCATGTGTGTGTGTGTGTGTGCGTTTGTTCTTTTGTTTGCTTGTTTGTTAGTTTGTGTGCTTGATTGCATCTTTGCTTGCTTGTGTATACGTACATACATACATATACCTGCTTGTGGCTTGCGCAACCATCGTACACACACACACAAACAGAGCACAAAAAGAGAGAGAGCGAGAGAGAGAGAGAGAGAGAGAGAGAGAGAGAGACTCGTGAACAATCGTTTCCAGCGGACCTTCTTCAGAACTGCCTGCAGTTTTGCAGGGTCCAACACTCCGGTGCCTGGCTCGTGGTCAGAGAAAGGTCTATATAGATTCAGGCTTGTTCGGCTTAATAATTATAGGGTATAGGGTTTCCTGTGTGAGGTTTGAAACTGTTACGGTTTCAGTTTTAACATCGTGCGAGTTGATGGCTGTTCGGATTTCAACTTGGCCGATGAGCTTTTGGTACCTGCACCGTCATTCGCTCTGCATATTTATGACTTCAGTGACACGAGCATCGCCTTCAGGACTGAGCGCGCAGTTCTGAGGATCAACGCCTCAAAGCGGCGAGCCTTCCGCGTCCAGCTCATGGCAGAGTTTGTGCGCTCGCTGAGACACCTAACGGAGCAGCTTCCGGGAAGTATAGCGCCTTGGGGATTTTGCAGAATTCCCCGACCTGACAACGAATACTTACTCCAAAGAGGCTTCTCCCACGAGCAGTTTCCAGCTTTCTTGGTCGTGTCGTTCTCACTTGCACCTTCTGCAGCCGCAATCAAAGCAGAAAGCGTAAGACCGCGATGCACAGCATCACAATGGTTGCTTCAAACAGCGGCAAGCTCAACTCCCAAACAAAACGAACAACAAGTAGAATTCTGCTCGAAGTCCCAGACCAAGCAGCAGAAGCAGCCAAGGAATATGATCATTTGTGGCCGTGTCGTATTGCAGGGGAGTGTTTACAGGAGTCACAGCGGCAATAGTTATCGAGGCCGCCACATTCGCATGCTTTTACGGCTTTGACCACAAATAACTCTTCCCAAAACCCGAAACCGCGGCATAGTAAATCCGGCTTAAGTTACAACCGGACAGCCTGAATCCGCACTCCGCCAGTACGAAGACCCAGACAGCGCAACACTCAGTCAAAGCTAACACCTCAGAACTGACCCCAAATCCAAAGCTTCCTGAGCTCCCGAGGCTCCCAGCACAATACCTAAAAAGCCCTGGAATCGACTCTGCCACGTGGCCTCTGTATCCAGGGCCATGGAGATGCATTTCGAGGAGCTCATCGACTGAGGATGTGGCTCCGGGCCCGGTGCAGCTGGGGTTTTGCGTGTGTGGTATTTTGCTTTTGGCTTGGGGCTCATAGGGTTTGAGGGCTTTAACGTGCTTCGGCTCGAGGGGCTCAAGGTCTCACAGGGCTGAACTACTGTGCGCCTTGGTCGGCAGAACCCTGTGTCACTATGTGTGTTGCATTTTCGCATACTGCACTCCTTGAATACCGAGCCCGACGAAAACCAAAACCCAAAACCCTCGATGCAAGGTTCCAGAAGCTAGAGTGCTTTGGGCACCTGCCGTCGCCGCACCTCACCCTTCACGAATGGAACAGGTGGGCTCTGACCAAACACGACTGATTTTGGGAAGGGCTCGTCAAGTGATGAAGTGACAGGAAGAAGCATGTCCTGCCTGGAGTGAGAGAATTCGAGCAAACGTCCTGAAGCCCTGCATAATAGGCACGGACAAGGCTGTAGAGTGGGTAAATGGGCCTGCTCTGTTGCTTCAAAGACCGACTTCCAGTTGAAGTTTAGGCCCGCTCAGCTTCGCATGTGCTTAAAACTTAGGAGCAGGAAATAGCGGGAAGGGCAGTGCACAAACCACACATGCACGCACGCACACAAAGGCGACGCACACAGTAAATAACATAGCCTGTCTGAGGCGCCGGCCGATCCACAGGATCCTCTGAAACGCAGTCCCCCCCAAACCCTTTGCCTGGCAACCTCCCTCAGTGTGGCATGTGAGAGTGCTACCTCTGGTATGTCCTTGGGTACGTGACGTTGCTGAATTTTGGGTCATGATATCGCTTCGTGTGCTTGAAACCTGCGGTGCATGATGCTGCAAAGGCCAATCAGCTGGCAGGCTTTTGTGGGTTTGATCTCGGATCCGAGGTTGGTCTCGATATGCTGCTTCGCCAAAGGCTGGCTCTCAAGGATGAACCTTAAGCCGGAATAACGTGCCAATGGCGCAGAATCCTACCCCTATAGCTTCTACAACTCTAAACTAAAACCCGCCATCTGCGGACTGGGCTTGGTGCAGCTTTTCTGCTCTGCACCTTCCAACCCACCCCACACACACACACCCACACCCACCCACACACACAGACAGACACACACACACACAGACACATGCATACACACGCACATACATCTTTAGCGCATAGATAGAGCTCAGGGCTACCATTCCCATCAAATCTTCGAGAACTAACGCTGCATTGCTGTCATCGCCTGATCAAACAATACTACGACTAAGACTCGGTCCGAGGTCTAGGTATGTTTTAAGTTCCAAGTATTGGGCTGTCCGGACAGCGTGGTAAAATCAAAGGGGCGGCTACAAGCACTTATCAGCTGAAGAGCTGACGGAAATCTCTCACATTGATTTAATTCAGGACTGTCTCGATCCACAGACATTTACGACACGACGGCAACATGGTGGGTCTGCTTCCATATTGGGTTGCCTAGGTCTCGGCCTTTCTACAGTTCGGTCTCCAAGACAGTATTAAGTGGTCTAATCAGTCTGACGGATTTCACCCAGCAGAACAGAAGCCCGCGCCCAACAAACGCCAGAATCGATGGCTGAGCAGCGCACTTTGCCGCTCACAAGCACCATTCCCTCGTCGTCTTCGGTGATGAACGGACCCGAGATGATGCATGTTTAATCATGGAAGTTCCTCCGACGCATCCTTAGCCAGTAGAGTGTAAGCTGCCCAGCTCGGATCGCTGACACGAGACTTGATCACAAAATAATATGGAAGTCAGGACTCCACCGGAAGCCAACAAACAACAACGGTGCTTGAGTCTCAAGGTGCGGATGATGCTGAGTTGAATGCAGATTGTGTCAAATCGTTGTTTGGTGCACCGGCTTGCGTCCTTCTACCGGCTTAAACGACTAATTTCGGGGGTACTCCAGCAAATCTCTCTTACTTTCGACACGGGAGGGAAAGGGAATGCACTTCTGGCTTAGCCCATTTCCCCCCGTGCCTGCTCTTCCCGAGCTGTGTAGAGAGCGAACATTGACATGGACTGGATGAAGACCAGAGATATTACTAATCTTGAGGCCAATGATAATACGAACAGCATTAGACCAGAGCCCTGAAGGGCAGAGGATCTCTGATGCCCAAATCAGGGGAGGGGATACCAGGCCGCAGCTCTTTGTGCCACTTCCGCCGCCCCAAGGCCTGGACGAGTCTCCTTCTTCGACTAGCGTGCAAAATACGATTGGAAAGGGATCTAGACGATGCAGCACAGTAGCATAGCATGGGAAGATATGGGATTTGCATACCAACTTAACCAACTTCCGAGTTTCAGAACTCACAGCGCTGTCCACAGGTAACTTCAGGTTTGGCTCACAAGGCTTTGCGACTTGGGGCTGCTTAAGACTGTTTTGCCCATGCCTGGTCGAGCGGGCTGCATCGCCATCGTGTGAGGGGCGGCGGAGCTGAGCTGGAAAGGGGCCTGGCATAAAATCCACAAAAGCCCACGTCCAAAAGCAGAATCTCTCACCAAAACATATCACAACAGCCCTACATGCTCTTATACTTGCGTTTATGGCAGCTCTGCTGACCTAACAAGCAGCCTGCTGCTGAAGGGTGGGTTTCAACACTTGCTGTGTACGTGCTTCCGGTCCCTAAGAACAAGGCTTCCGCTGCACCGACGCTGCTCCCAGCTGGGCTCTCGGCTTGTGGCAGGACGGGCCGAGACTGCTGTTGTGTGGCCGGCGTGGTGAGCCTTGCAATGCATAACAGTCAAAATCCGTGCAGAAACCGGCTCAAAGTTTGTGCAAAAAGCGCTCTGGGAGTTTGGGCAGGTTGTCATACTGTACGGAGCTCAGATCTGCGGCACGGCGATTCCTTGTGGCCGCACTTGAACTGAAGAGGGCTTACGAATTCTGTAAATCAACCGCAACATGACAATACCGTAGGACCTAGGAGATTGTCAGAGAATAATTCCAAGCTCATAAAGCTACCGTAGTTGATCTTGTAAAGGAAAACCGCATGAAACAGCCACAGAGCTTCAACTCTATGCTTGTAGGCTGGCACTTGAATATCGCGAGAAGGCCGCGGAGAGATCCGCAGAGCCGCAACGGAAAACGAGAACATGTAAAGGCAAAGCCGTGCCGGTGCATGTAAACATACCAAGTAATGTGATGCTAGGCTCCGACAAAAAACTTGCAGATCGAGACTAGCCAGAGCAATGCCATGTGTACACCATCTCGTACAAAGATGCATTCTTTGGTGCATATATAGCAACAGCACTATAGTGAACATGACAGCAACAGAATATGGCAACATGGCCCATGGCCGTATGAGCATGCAACTGCGCCGTCACAACCTACCCCGACGGCAAGATCCCAAAACATCCCTCATGAAAAACTGACAAAGCAGCGCGATCGTGTAACGTGAAGAACACAACGGGGCAACCAACATAATTTCGTCGTACAAAAGGCATGATATCTTCCCTGTCAGAGTGTAGAGACCATTCACAAACCCAGGGTTCGCTAGCAACTCCCTGAAACTGTGAAGTTGCATGCCTTCAAAACTGTGCAAGTGTTGTTGCACTCTGCTTCGGAGACTGAAGTCGATGTTGAAGGTGTTTTGGATGGCTGTCGTCGTGATGGTTCGTTTCACCGCAGACGGTGATGGAAAAGCGGCATCTAGGGCAAGCAACCCAGTCAAAAATGCGGTGGGAAGAGACACTGTGCCAGGCCTTCGTCAAACGACTCAGCCCGAAGTCCTGATTCTAAGCCTGCGCTGTAAGTCATGCGTCTTGAACGCTGCCTGCAAAACGCTAGACGGCATAAACATTTGTACGAAATGTTGACTTCGAAACTGAAACCTTGAACGCAAACGAATACATTCCAAAGTACCCCTTATATACCTCATTCGTCCGACGCCCTCCGGGCCTGTATGCCTGTGAATGGGGATGTGGCACAGGCAGCGATGCCCGCCTGAAGCGAGACGTGAGAAGCTGATTGTGCTGAGCGATTTGGGCCGAGAGGCACGGCCGCGTTTGGGGTTTCGCATTCGGGGGCGGTATTGTTGAGGGTGTTTGCTGTGCGTGTCTTTGACAAATCCATGACGGGGTCTTTTTTCATTGTGGATTACAGCTCCCTGTGCAAAAAGCTTGGGGACAAAAGACCGCCACCATTGCGCGATCATGAATCATGCTGGGCTTTGTGCTGAGCCGTAGACCTCGAAAACACTGGCCCTGCCACCCTGAAACCCACATTCTCGAAGCTCAGATCTAGAACCCAAGGGAGACAGGAAACTGGAGAGGCAGTGTAGCCGCAGCCGCAGCCGCTGACGGTGCCGGCGCAGTGCACTGGAGCGGATAGGCCTGAAAACAAAGTGTCCCGACATGGTTCTAGATTCTCGAGTTCTCGATTCTGAAATGTGCGAGAGTGTGGGACACCAAATCTTCCACCCAAAGGGCTCATTATTTTAATGTAAGGAATTGTAAAGAATAAGGAAGACAAGTTTGAAGTCGAAAATCCATGGGCTTTCGGGCCTGCAGAGATATAGTCCTCCCAGGACTGCGGACTGCAATGTCGAAGGGATGGCAACATATCTATAGGAGGTGTCCGATTCGGCCTACTACATGGTTGCACTCCCTGAGTCCCACAGGGTGGAGAATGGCACCGCTAAATGATGTTGCTTGGCTTAAGTACTGGTCGATGCAGCCTTGTCAAATGCCACGGCCAAAACAGAATGTTTGTTGTACTCGGCTCACTGGCGGACCCGTTCCTAAGCGCTTGATTGCACTTGACACGGGCCTGGTACTGGTACGGCTGGGCCAGCGTGCGCCATTGGCAGCCGCCAGTGGATGTCACATAGGTGGCTGCAGGTGCAGGTGCTGCTGGAACGGGGACTGCTGGTGCGGAGGCCGCTCCAGGCACTGCTGCTGCAGGGGCTACTGGCGCCGAGGCTGCTGCTGCAGGCCCTGGGCCTGCAGCCTGAGTTGGGACACTTACTGGCGAGCGGGCGTTTGCCGACAAAGGAAGCCGAGCAGTTGGGCCCGGAGTTGCGGCTTGAACTGCTTGGTGTGCTCCCGGCGCAGCAGTTGCAGTGGTCTCAGCAAGCCCCGCGGGAGCCACCGTACGAGGCAAAGGCTTCTCATGTGCCGTCCCTCCCTGCGCCGGCGGCGCCTTAGTCGTCCAGCTCCATCATGTCACAAAATTCGAGCTTTACAGACACGAGACACTTGACCAGCTCAAGGCTGCGAAGATGCAATACATATTAAGTCGACGATGATGAACCTGCCGATGCATGACGATGAGGATGATGATGTTGCTGGTGATGATGATGATGATGATGACCGTGGTGAGAGTGATGCTTCATGCTGCTGATGTGTGTAGTTGAGGGCGATGGTGGCGTTGACACTACTACACAAGGTAGCACAAAGATGCAGGATCAAACACAAATCAAATTACAAAGATTGAAGCGTGAAGTGCTACAAGACAGGATAAGCGACCACCAGTTAACTTTAGAATCCTTTTGCGTCTAAATAGGTCACGCTAGTACGAGTATCGACCGCTAGTATCGTGGTTTGACGAAACCGTGAATTTTCTACTTGTATGGCATCAGACATCTGGCTAGGGAAACCAAGCCCAAGGGCAACGGCGCTCCACGCAACTGCTACAAACATATCATTGCATTCCTCTCAGATCCAGCCCCACAGCGCTCGCTTTGCTACGACGACGGTGGTGGCAACCATGTGTAGCCAGGTGACTGAGTGGGTCATCGACATTGGCACACGCGAGGCTTGAGTCGGCGTGGAAGCCGGTTGAAACCAGGCACGAGCACCTTCTGATTCGATTGGGCTGGAGCCTCGAAAAGTTGTGGCTTTGGTGGGGGCTTTGAGGGTTCGCGTCTCACCGTGGGGGTTGGGGTCTCGAGTTTTATGACCCGGTTCAGGTGAGGGAACAGGCTGGCTGCTGCGCACAGGCAGTATCCATGATCTAGATCAGCAACAGCCTCAGCCTTTCAGCATCATGGCGGTGATGATGAAAAGGACGAGGAGTCTAAGGAAGGTACTGACGGCAATAGTGCTGAAGACGATGTTAGATGCCGCTATCGTTGTTCTCCGCACTTATCGCATGTATTCTTGGGTCAGTCTTACTATGCCGACTGGTGTCGAAATCATCCTATGGTATTGTGTCGCTCCTCTTATAGCCAGTTCCGCATTGCGGAACTAACCTTTGAACACAAGCCCTGGTCTATGTCTGAAGCCTTCTGCTCAAAAAGTCTCAGCAGGCAAGCCTGAGAGCAGCTGCGCAGTCTGTGCCCCGGGACCTATCCTAAGCGCCAAAGGCACGGACGAGAGAGGTCTAGGACGATTGCTGCGATGGGGTTTCCCACAGTGACGAACACACTGTTGACAGGCGTACTGTTATGCTCTGCGCCTGGCAAGGTCTGGCGTCGGTTCCCAGTCAAGGACTGGGTACTTGCCGACTTCAGGAAAGGTATCTATGCATGTAAGACATCGATAGCTGTGCTCATGCTCAGATGCTTCCGCTCCGGCGCTGGGCTCTAAGCACCGAGAGCATGGCCGACTGTTGCCTCGAGGACATGGGGAGCTGATGCTCATAATGCCCGTGCTCTCGATGCCGGCACGGACAACTGATGCTCATGATGCTTGTGCTCTCGATGCATTCTATAGCTGCGTTCTATGTCCTAAGCTCATGATGCTCCATGCTGCTCGTGTTCTCGATGCTCTCGCATGGGGAGCTGATGCTCGTGCTCTCGATGCTCCGAAGGGAAAACCAGCTGATGCTCATGATGCTTGCGCTCCGGGTCTCGATGGCTCTAGAGCATTGCCGAGTGATGCTCGTGATGCTCGCGTTCTCGATGCTCTCGATGCCTCCGAAGGCATCTACCACTGATGCTCGTGATGCTCGGTTCTCGATGCTCCGAAGGTATGACAGCCGTTCTTCAACTGATATCGGCTTAAGGCTCAGAGCTTGGAATGGTTTGGCGATTGCAGAGGTTTTCAGCTCCTGAAACCCACGCCCGAATTCCACCGTGAGGCATTTTGGCAGTAGGTTGAGGAATTGGTACTCGTACTTCGTTGCCGATGGCCGCAGGGCTCGCTCTTGTTGTCATCATTGCTTCTGGCACACTGGGGGGGAAGCATGTTTTGGAAAAGGAAGCTGAAGGTTCTGTTGTTCATATTGTGGCGATCATGATTATCCTGACGTTGGCGTCGGACAACTTGCTGGTGAAGTTGATGTTGTACTGCTGCTCAATGACTAAAACGAATATTGTTTGCCGTGATGCCACTATCTTCAACGGCTTTACCGTAACCCACTATTGTTATAGCGGCATACGAAGTATGTCCACTGGTAATGTCGGTCAGTGTTTCCAGAGCAACAACAGCATTGCCAGTGCTACGACCTTTGCTGATGTGCTAATAGCAACTATTTACTCTTGCTGCCACCACTGTCATTGCTTTGATGTGTGCGTCTGTCTGTGCGTCGCTGTTCGTGCTACTGCGAACTACACTGTCTGCTACCTCCTCCTGCTTTGTGAACTTTTTTGAATTCTACAAGGCACACCTCTGCGAGACTGAATCGCACTAGCTTGCCGAGTGCCGGCATCTGCACCCTAAACCTTTACCATGATCCTAAATGTTCACTGCTGCCCGCCCCGAACATTGTATTACTGAATCTGCGTGTTGGCAGCTACATCAGCTACATCGCACCCGACCACTCCCGGTTGGCGTCGGGCCGCGTGATCTGGCGGTACTGCGAAGGGAGGGTCGCAGGCGCCGATGGCCAGCACGGTTGCACCTGCTCAGGACTTAGAGTCCGACCCCGGAGGAATTTAGCTTTCAGGGATTTCGGGGTCGTAGGATCTTAAGGATGTCGGGCTTAATGCTTAAAGCCTGCAGGGCTCACTGCTGCAAGGGTGAAGAAGGTCCTCGGCTCCCGGCTTGGCATACAGGACCGATAGTTGGCAACTTTGCTCTAATTACTCGGAACACAAAGCCCTAAGATACCTGGTTGGCAGTCTACTGAGGCTCCCTTGGTAAGCTGTGGTTTGGCATTTAAGGTGGAACCCAGAAAAGCCCAGCGTCCTGTATGCGTGGGTCAAGTAACCCTGGCCCCCGGAAAGCAACAAACCGACAAAGGACGTCCCAACAACGCATGTGTTTTGATTTGCCCCGGGCTCTGCACTCCTAGATTCAACTCGGAATCCTAAATTCCGACATGTCCTGAAATGGGCACAGAAACACAAAGCCCGAAACATCGGAGCGGTATGAAGACCATCTACACCTCGTAGATGTGAACTCTCGAAATCCCAAACCACTAATCGCACTATCCTTCAAGTGCAACTGCACACGACTGCCTGTTGAATGCCTGTGACTGCGAGCTCGATTCCATATCTTCGGAGCACCAGAGAATTGTAGACTAAGCCGTAAACCCATGTATGCCTGAACAACAAGCTAAACTCCTGCAGGCTAAACGCCTGATGTCCTAAACCCCAAGCCATCAAGCTCCAAATTACCAGAAGCCTGAACTCCTTCCTGTAAGTTCTTAATCCCAAACCTCGGACACTTCAAATGCTTCGGCCCGTTGACCTGAACAGCGTGAACTCCTTCACAATTCAAAGCTAAAGTCCAAACACCGTGACCCTCAAACCCTGCAACCAGGAACTCTGAAATCCTTAAGCCCTCGAAACGCCTGAACTCCTCTGGGGATCTCAGTGCGAGGGGTGCCAAGCGGCACCGCCACGCCTCGGAAAGAGTCTCCAGGGCGTTTTAGTGATTAGGCCTGATATAGGGTTTCCAGGCTTCGGGGGGTTGGCTCAGGTCTTGGACCTTTGGAGTTGATTGTTGATTCCTTTGAAGATGGGTAGAGCTGTTGTGGAAGAGCCTTCGAGCCTTCGAGGCTCGGAGCTCGTGTGCAAGTGCCTGACAACCCTTAGTCCCTATAGAATGGTGTGTACAGCCTGGGGGACAGCTTCAGAGTGCTGCTTGTGTTCGGGGTGGAGAGACCGGCATGTGTGTGCTGCCAATCCGTTCCACATCTGAAACAGCACGGCTGCTACACCGCCCTAAGCCGGCACCCACAAAATCCTAAGCTCATCCGAATCCCTGAGGCCGGGATGGCATGAGCCTTCCCTCCCGCTGGGCCGTCTGGCTCCTTCCAGGCGCACTTGGCTGCGACAAACACGGCTTGTCCTTAGCAGATGGCCCTAAACCCCCGAACCTGAATGGAAATGTGGAGCCAAATATGCTGAGACTGAGAAGTGGGGAGTTCGAAACAGTAGCGATTGCTTCTTTGGGGGCCACAAGCATCCGATTGTAGCAGCGACTATATAGCCAGTCAGACTGTGACACTGTGGGTCCATTCTATGCAGACACTAACCAGTTGGGCACAGAACAGCCTCCAGGATCTGCATACACCCTCTGAGACATCTTCACAATCTCCTGAATCCCGTCACCTGCACCCCAAGACAGCGACAACAAATCGTCAATGTTGATACAGTCCCGCGCTGAGGCAAGGTCGTGACAATGCACGTCTGAAGAAATAGCTGTAGTAGGCAAAGTACATAAAAAAGGTTATACTACCGCATCATGAAAAGGACAAAGGCAACAGGGCAGGCATGTTCTCAGTTATACCTCAGCGTCTCTTCCACGGTCCCCAAGTGTGGTCCAAACAGTTTTGGAGAAAAACGGCAACTGAGGGTTAAGGTTCCGAGGGATCCACATGCTATTATGTTTATACTTGGGGCAGCCCTCCGTTACAATCCTGAACTCAAAATCCACAGTCTTCAAAACAACAGGCATCGGATGCTGTATCTAATGTACAGCAATTTCATGTCCCGAAAGATCGCCCGAAAGCAGACTACCCAAACGGTCGTGTGCACTGGGCTCATCACAGCAGCTGCAAGGGAGGATGCCAATGCCGTGAGTGGGATAGGCGAACCTTGCCATGTACAGCAACCATAGTAATACTTAGCAGAAGCATCAGCAATGCACTCCGAGCACGAAAGTGACGCAATCGAGCCATGTCATGCCAATACTGAATGATAACGACGACCAAGCCTAGCTTATGATATCCCAACACATTGCACTCGACACAGTAGCAAGATCCTTAACAACGAAATTCGTCGACCGAACCGCAAGCCGAAGTCTGCAAAGACGTCCCTGCAAAAATCCCCAAGCCGAAAGTAAGCAGCTAGCTAGGGCCAGATTTCAGTTCTGACAAATAAAGTGTGTGCAGGCAGCTCTTCAAACAGCTAAGCAGGCAAGCTGTGCCGTACTGGCCGGCAGATGCTAAGGTCGGCTGAAGCAGGCCTGGCTGCGGCACCTTCCACCGAGGCCACATCCAGGGCATGGGTTCTCTGATTTTGTCTGGAGAAGTATCCACAATGAACTGCTCTTTGGTAAGACTCCTTCAATGAGGAACCGCCTGAGGTCCCTGCTTGATTTCTCAAACTCCCATGCAACAGTCTCCATAGCTTCTGCTAAGGTTAAGGATTGAGGATCTAGACACCCTCAACCCCGGCTCCCCAAATGCATCAACCCTAAGACGAAAGCTCATCCTGAATCTCTTCCTGCTGTGTCTGCTCAGGCCTCAGGTCCAAAGCTGAAGCTCTCTCGGCTTTAGCTTTCTCGCTTGCCGAAGGGCATCTAACTTTGACGATCTGAGGAGGCGAGTGTCTCTACTTGCTCCACTTGTGGGATTATCCGCCGACCCTGCGGGCGCCCCCACCACCCTCACCGCCCACACAGCCCTCACCGCCCTCACCACCCCCACCATCTCCATTACTGCCACGCCTGCTCTGTGCCTCCGCCGCTTTCACCGTTCCCACCGTCTCCACCGCTCTCACCGCCCGCTGTATTTGTAGGTGTTTAAAGCGTAAAGAGTATTTAAAGGCTGCCAATGTGTGCCCGGACCCCCCCGCGCCCCCACCGCCCCCACCGCCCACACCGCCCTCACCGCCCTCACTGCCCTCACCTGCCTATGTACCAGACTGCCCCCACCGCCTCCACCGCTCTGTTTAAAGAGTCTTTCGCCGCTGTATTTGCCCTCACCACCTCCACCACCCCCATCCACCGCCCCCACCGTTTTCACCACCCCCACCATCTCCATTACTGCCACGTTTTCGCTGTGCCTCCACCGCTTTCACGTACCGTGCCGATCCACCGCTCTCACAGCTCTCACCGCCCGCTGCAGTTGTAGGTGTTTAAAGAGTATTTATTAAAGAGTATTTAAAGGCTGCCAATGTGTGCCCGGACCCCCTCGCGCCCCCACCGCCCTTACATGCCCCCTTACCGCCCACACCCGCCTTCACCGCCCACACCGCTCTCACCACCTCCAGCACCCCCAGCTAGCCACCCCCTCACCGTTTTCACCACCCCCACCAGTTTAGTGCCACCACCTCGACTGTGCCCGCACCGCTCTCACAAGACTTGCAGGCCCTATCTTATTATTTCATGTCACTTCCTCCGTATCAGGGTTGGTTGCTTTCAACACCTGCTGCCTTCCTTGGATAGTCACCTCTCTTCTTTTGGGGTCGGCGGCAGTGGCGGCAGCCCATAAATCGGGCAGCGCTTCGCTGCCCTGTATGGACTGAGCTATGGCTCAGACGAATGAGCTTCGTCTGCGAAGCAGAAGCCACGACCGACAGTGCCGCCGACCCGCCCCGGACCCCGCATCATCGGACCCTCGTTTCTCCCTCGGGCCGCGCGGGGCCTGGCCCGGAGGCGTCTCGGAACGCGCACGCGTTTTGCAGCCATTCCCCGCGGTGTGGCGGGTTTCGGGGCCGCCGTGGACGACCCAGGAGGCGAGCCGGCGAGCATCATGAGCCCTCGGGCGCCCGCAACCGGCGCCGGCGGCGCGACGTGGGCGCGAAGTCATAACTCCCAAGTTTTTGAGTGGGTTGCGGAAGCCGCCAAAGGGCGCGCATCATGAGCATCAGCGGGGTCCGGCGGACGGGGGGTGCGGGCTACATGCAGGGCCGACGGGGGCTGAGAGCCTACGATCACCCACAAGTTGCGCACTTCGGGCCTACGTTGCACTTTTCTATATACCGCGGGTTTCTGACAACAGCTCGCGCTGCCCGCACCTGGGCGCAGCCCCTAAATTTAAGAATCCGAATAGCGTCCACCATAAACGAGTAGAACATCGGGAGGCATGGGCTTCATCTTCCCAAGCGAGGCCATCCCTGGTCCCTGGCAAACCACAAAGACGGCTCCAATGCTAAACCGGAACCCATAAACCACTGACCTCCAAAGAAAAGCTCGACGCTGACATTCCACCTGTGGGTAAGACGCCTTCGGTGGCAGCTGCAAGGAGTAGGAGCCAGAGATTGCTCCCACCTCCATTCTGTTCGGCTCGGTGGTTGAATGTAAAGTGTAGCCGTTGCATCCAGCGTGTTGGGTTCAGGGTTTGGCACCCAAACTGTGGCAAGCATTGTGCTTATGACTGCGTTAGTCAGCTAAGGAGCCACGCCGAGATCGAAGCCCTTGAAAAACGCCAACCGTCACAAAGTGCAGCATTGGGTACGCGGCATTCGATTCTGGAGTCTAACTCCCCTGTGCAATATGCCGAAAACTACAAGCACCATCCGACACTATGCAAATCAGATGCGCTGTGCACAAAAAATTTGAAAACACCTAAGGACCGTGTTAGTTAGAAGCCCTTCACGGCCTTGCACCGAACATCGTCAAACTGACGCCCTCACCCTGTAAGTTATACGATACCGGCTTCAACGTCTGGTGTGTGCCTGGAAAAAACTAACTGAACCCAAGTGCTCTTTGTCCAAAACAGGTTGCTGTTCACGGCGGGTCCTTGTAGCTAGTACATGTGCACCTCGTTAATTACTCTTGGCACAGACTGCATGAAAATGGTTCTTCCCGCGACATCCCACAACAACTCCCTATGAGCAGGTCAACCAAATACTTGGCACGTACTGTCAGTCAGGCCGGCGCAGCCTTGCTGGGAGAGCCCGTCGGCGAGACTTCCCTGGTGGCAGACGGGACAGACTTAGGGATTATGATGCGTTAATCACGCTTGCTGTCCATGTTGGCCTCATTGTCTACAAGTTCTTCCAACCAGGCCTCTGCATGGAAGAGATGAGACCTTCAGGGGGAGTGGAAGCGGAGCGATTAGGGTTGGAGCAATATCTGGAAACGGGAGATTTGGGCACGGTCTGTTTTCGGACTTTCGTTTCTCAGGGCTCGAGTCTGTTCTTCCTTCCGAAAAAGCCCGCAAACAACACTCATTGGAAGCCTCCAACTCCAAGCTAAGAACCATGCGAAATCAGTCACGGGGCAGGAGTAGAATGCCCCAAAACTGTGTTAACCTCAACCGACGACGACATGCGAAAGTACACGACCTGCGCCGCCGACGCCCGCAGCAGAAAAGGATCAAGCATCTTATCAGTAGCAACAAGGCAGCCAGACCTGAAGATCGGATAACGGAGCGGTTGATCGGCTGAGTGAGCCTGCACACTGTCTGAGATGTCTCGACGTCGTGATGCGACGGGGTGCTATGATTTTGCTAGTGCCCACTCACAGGTTCAGCTCGTGCAGTAACTTGGGCTTCCTAAGGATCTTTATAAATAGGCTTGGAGGTTTGAACCCGGCCAAGCCTCGGGAAAACGAGGAATCTAGCAACCAAAGACAGGTTACGGTTGGCAGATTGGAGCGTCATTGGCAGCAAAAAGGGCAAAGAATAGCGCAAGAAATGCGGCAAGGCACCAAGATGCAGCTTGGGAGGAGCAAAGAAGATTCAAGTAACCAGCCAACCCCGCTGCTTTCGGTTTCGCAGTGGACTGTATATGCAGACAGGTCGGAAGCACCTGACAATCTCAAACTCGATTTCTGGACCCTCTGCGCTCGAGGCGGAGAAACGTGCACTGTGAATCTGCTACAAGGCCAAGGTCCTGTAGTTCTCCACCGGCATCGGAGTAAAACCTGTGGGGGTTGGCCTTGCGGACAAATGCGTATGTATATGTATATACATAAATATGTATTTATTTACCTGCTTCTTTGTTTATGTATCTATATGTATATGCATGTATGCAAATAGTTACGTATGTGCGTATGTCGTTATGTATGTATATAAAATATATGCATGTGCATGTATATGTATATCTATATACAGATGCACATGCGTAATTCACTGTACACATGTACAGGTATATGAATAAGTATGTGAATAGGCGTACGTACGTGTGGACGTATTGTTAGTATGCAAAAGTGTTTGTGAGTATGTGCATATATAAAGGAAAATGACTGTGTAAGTATGTGGGTATCTAACTGAGTAATTGTTACTGCCTGTGTGAACGTATAGATGTACGTATGAATGTATGTAAGCAGGAATATTCGTACCTAAACAACTAATAAAGTAATTAAGCATGTGTGTTTGTCTATATGTGTGAATGTATGTAGGTATGCTCGCATGTATTTTCGCATGTTTGCATACGTGTGTGTGTGTGTGTGTGTGTGTATGCGTATGTGTATGTGCATGTGTGCGTGTGTGTGTGTGTGTGTGTGTGTGTGTGTGTAGATGTGTGTATATGTGTGTATCTGTGCATAAGTAGACAAGTGTGCAAGTGAGCGTGTATGTGGGAATGCAGGTATGTACATATGTAAGCAAGTAAGTATGCATGCATGTATGTGCGTATGTAATACGCGTGCATGGATGGATGGATAGATGGATGGATGGATGGCCTGCAAAATCACAAAGGCACGCAAACAACCACAAGGATCGTATGCCTGACGCAGGATGATGCGATGCATGTCACGAGATGGACATTTACATACGCGACATGTACATACAAGCATGTATACACCCCCATATGTATATATATATATATATATATATGCCATATACATACACACACACACATGTCTGTGTGAATGTTTGAATATGCACACATGTATACACACTTGCCTGCTTACATTGACATACGTACACAGCATACATATATATATATATATATACACATACGCATATATCCTACATGCCTGCCGACAGACAGACAACCAGCCAGACACACAGACAAACGAACGGACAGACAAACAGGTACTCACGCACATACATATATACACACACACACACGTGCAGATGCATGTACGTGCGCACACACACACACACACACACACACGTGCGAATGCATGTACGCATGCATGCATTAGTTCCTACACCAAAATTACATACATGCATACATACATACATACATGCATGCATGCATACATACATACACACATATATCAACAGACACACACACACACACACAGAGACACACGCACACATACGCACACGCACATACACACACACACACACACACACACACGCACGCACGCACACACACACACACACACACAAACACACACACACACACACACAGACAGCACACACGTGCACATACACATGGCTCCCAGAGCCCACTCACCCCGAAGCCCTCTACAGGCCAGGCCCCCCGCGGAATCGTCGGACCTGGCGGACCAGAAGTGGCCGGATTCGGAAGCCTTGGTCGGCTCTGGCGAAATATCCTTCGGACTCGGGGGCGTCGGGTGATGGACTTGGGATTTGGGGTCAGGATCTCATAAGGATCACGGTTTAGGTTCGGGGCTCGGGGATTTAAAGCTGTGGGGCTGGTATTGACAAAGCTTTCGGGTCCAAGCGTTGGGGATTTAAGAATTAAAGGTTCATGGCTTGCGGGGAGTTGAAAGGTTTGGAGGCATGGTTGAGGGCTGACGGTCTAATCACATCGTCGAACATGGTCGAATGTTGGGGTCGGAATATCTGGGTCCAAGGCTTTGGGGGCTCAGAAGTTTCGGCATTTCTGGTTTCAGCATGTCTAGGCTCCAAACCACTGTCAACAAGATTCGGTTTGGCGAGGCCAGCATAACTCTATAAGGTTCATGAGGACCTTCTTGGTTATCGGCAGCATCCGTCTACATAAGTTCAAGAAAAGCAGTTGGTGGCGGTGTCATGAGCATATAGGATGTGGCGAAGCAGCACCAGCATGTCTCGATGTTCATTAGCATCTCGCCTGTCAGCAGAATCAAATACTCAGAGCGGTCGCCAGCTTCATCAGCGCCGCTATCACCATCGTCAACATTACTACCACCAGCATCGCTGTCCTCATTGTCGTCATCAACAATCATGGCCATTGCAGTCATTGCATCTCATCATACATAGACTATAGACTCGTTCACTCATTCATTGCAGCAAGGAAACTGCACAGCGCAAACCGCGATCAACGAGTGGCAGCAGTAATCGTAGTCTTGAAATGAAAACGCGGACTCCACGTTGCGACACTCGCGACAAACAAACTACCTACACATCTTGAACATATGCTCAAGACGACAATGACGACGAGGACGACGACGCCACCACCGGCACTACCACCACCACCACCACCGCCGCCGCCACCACCACCACCACCAGCACCAGCACCAGCACCAGCACCAGCACCAGCACGACAAGCACCAGCACCAGCACCAGCAAAGAGCACGACAATCACCACCACCACCACCACCACCACCACCACCACCACCACCACCACCACCACCACCACCACCACCACCGCAACTACCGCCACCACCCCCAACACCACCACCACTGCCATTGCTGGGTGGTGATACACAACGATGCAATGGAGACGCTACAGCACAATTGGAGCCACAAGAACTAAATTGTGTAAGCACATGCAGGGTAACCAGTGAAAGTCGACACAGCTAGGTGGGCCGCCGAGTCATGGTACGAAGAGGTGAGTGACCGAGGGGCTTCATAGATGCCGAGGGCGCCCGTGCCGGAGCCTTTCAAAGCTGTACTGTAAAGACATTAATAAAGACACCAGAACAGGCCTGCCGTGATTAAAGTCATATCAGGTAAAGGTAGGCACCATGACCATGAGGTTATGTTTCAGAGTTGCTCGCGTAGGCAAACGCGGCCCTAGCAACCTTTCCGGCTGTTCCCACCCGGAGGCGACAAACACCTGTACAAGCGCTTCACGGTTGTTTTCGAAGCTTGCATGCACCAAGACATTTCCTTCAATACCCATCCGGGCATGAATAGCTGATGATGCAATGTCTAAGCGGTCTTCAAACACTGGTCGAAAGTGCGCAACAATCACAAACCTGCATGACCTAGACCTTCGTGATCAAATTCTGCATTCAACGGCCTGGACGAGCGGTGGTGGCTGCGGCATCTGACCCCAGTCAATAATGGGCTTCGCCTCCTGAGCAATGCAGCAGGAATAACCAGTGACTTGAGTCTTTCATCCGTGCAGTACGGCTGGAGCAAGTGCATTTGCAATATGACAACCAGGTTATGCTCATTGCTGATTTAACGATAACCTAGTTAGTCCCCATGACTGCAATTATTGTTGGTACTGCCCTGTCAATAGTCCGCCGTCCTGCTTCAAGCAGAGTTCGCCAAAATAAAGCATTGCATCATCAGCTACACGGCTAAGATTTCATCTGCCTTTGTTATCTGACATCTATCAAACTGATTCAAACTGTCGGTTGCACTGAAACTATTCTCGAAGTCGCCATCACTGCCCTGAATGCTACGTGTAGAGGTACCTAGGCCTATCTGAGCGTGGCTGACATCATGCTGCGACTAAGCCGCGCACCACTGTAGCAGCGACAATTGCTACGGCCATGCCCACTAATTATTACTGATATGGTTATGAATACCACCACCACCACCACCGCCACCACCGCCACCACCACCACCACCACCACCACCACCACCACCACCACCTTGCCAAAATACCCCTGGTTGCTGCATGTTTGGTGGACAGCTATCCATTCGGAGTCCCTTTATGTTTCCCCAACAGTCCCGGTGCCAACCAGTCGCGAAACAGTGCAAGCAACGTGTCCTGCGGAAGTACTGCCACAAGCCGCCCCTGATTTGGGGTCCGTTTGAGGTGGAGTTCTGGCACATGCCGCTTGGTGTGTGTGTGTGTGTATATATATATATATGTATATGCTTATACATATATATATATATATGTATATATATATATATATATACAGTATCAGAAACCAACATACAAACAGACATACATGCACTTGTGTGCGTATATGTATGGAAGGTGTATATATATATATATATATAATTTGGTATATGTATGATATATATATATATATATATAGAAATATTTGTATTCATACATATATGTGTATGTACATATGCATATATATATATATATATATATATATACACATACCGGCAAATCCACAGACACGCACTCTCTCTCTCTCTCTCTCTCTCTCTCTCTCTCTCTCTCTCTCTCTCCCTCCCACACACACATGCGTGACACACAAACACAAAAATCGCGCACGCAGGAAGGGGGTTCATACACAACGAGTTGAAGGTTTTGAGAGAGCCGGACGCTGGACATCCAACGAGTAGAGCCGTTGGGTATCACTAAAAACATAAACGTAGCTGTACATAGATATACACACATCCTATTCACTTGTTAGAGCGTAGCTGAACGCAGATCCACACAAACACATACCATTCATCCGGTGCACACGCATGCATGCACACTTTCACCCGAGAAACCTGCACGCACACATGCACACGCACACATGATTCACACGTGACGCGCATGCATACATGCATTCATGCATGCAGTCAAGACCGCCATACCTGCATAATTGTAGTAGTCTGTTGGGGGGCTGTAGAGGGACATAGGCTTTTGAGAGAGAGGTGTGAGGGTCGGGCTGAGGAGGGAGATGAGCTCCTTAGGGCGTGGGGTTGGTGCGTCCTAGTCCTGTAGGAGTAGTATAGTAATAATGAAGTACAGCACAGTAGGAGGGCTCAGGGTGGGGGTACCTAGAACTTGTTACGGGGGCGGGGGATCTACAGCAGGAGCTTCGGAAGCTGGTCTCTGATTTTGCTCTGGTTGATGAATTTATGGTGTGCTGACACACGATGCCAGAATCCGTTCTTCGTACTTGGTAACACATGGTTACATGAAGTCTCCACGCTTGCCAATATAGTGAGTATAGTGTTGTGAAAAGCAACAAGCTAGATCCTTGTTTTGTGCGAGAAGCCTTGCTTCATTGCGTCATTGACCATTGTCCCTTTTACGACTTCACACCAAGTCTTACGCAAACCCGAGAGACTCCTAAACTCGCAGGCCCTGTCATGACGCGGAACATCCCGGATTCTACAACCTCGAAGAGAAACCCCGGGCCTACAGACCCTGAACAACACAAATCCGAGAGTCCAAATACCCCAGCTACACCCACAATCCCGAAATCCTCGTAAAACACAGGGCCGATTTTGCGTTGTGCCTTGGGGCTGTCGACTTTGGGCTGCGAGCGGCTACTGGGCCTCTGAACCTGGGACAGGTGCTCAGAAACTCAGGGTTTGGGGCTTAGGTTTGCGCGGTGATGCTTAGCGTTTCAGGTTAAGGTCTTGGAGTTGGGGCATAGAGACTTTGAGGGTTGGGGGTGGATACTTTGCGGACGAGGATGGGGATAGATGATGGGGTTAAGGATTGGGGGTCTTAGGGTTTGGGGTTTCGGTTTTGGGGGTCCTAGGGTGTCGGGTTTGCACGGGTCTAGGGTTTGGAGTTCCGGGCCGCAGGTGTAGGGTTAGAGAGTGTGGGCTTTGCGGCTTTAGGCTTTTGGGGCTGCGGGTTCAGGGTCTCTGGTTCGGGGTGTAGGTTTTAGGGCCTGCACATACTGGGGCAGTTGAGGTTTCGGGACTAATTGAAGTTTGGATGTCGAGTTTGGGCCGGTTTGAGGTTTAATAGTTCGGGAACAGGACTCCACTTGGGTCGTTCATGGTGTCTCACGATGTGAGTTTGGAGCAAGCCCTTCGACGTCAGCACCGGAATCCAGGACTCGGGTTTGCAGTGCCTTTCCACCTGTGCTGTCAACGCATGGTTACTAATTATGTTCTTTAAGCGGCCCTGAGATGAGGTTCTCATGGGTTTAGGGTTTTCAATTAATGCGCAAGACATTCGACAAGTGCAAGCAACCTTAAACGGACGATGACGACAACGATGACGACGACCGTGATGCAAGACGGCAGCCGCAAAGGAACAGCGTATTAGTATTTCCTAACCGATGACGGCACTGTTAACGATTCTGAGATCTAGACTAGCCACCACAGTGCATCGAGGTAACTTGAGATTGGCCTTGAGAAACTGACATAATCTGTCAGCCACACAAGAGTGGCTAACGGTAGCTCTCTATTCTTCCGAGAACGGCTCGCAGCAAAGATATCGTGTCGTTTATGATCATGGTCGCAGCTACCATCGCCGCTATATCCTCGGAACAGGAACCTTTGTTGTCAAGGCTCATGTCCACCCTGATGGTCATGAGTCATAACCATTATCAGTGACATCAACAGTTAAATCGTTCAACGAATCACAATACCCGTAAGTCAATACGTGAAAACACACCTCTTGCAAGGTGGCAAACCCAAATCTCCGCAACGACGGTCCTGTGACCGAGGCCATTACCGGCTTGGTCGGCGAGGCGGGCGTTGCACTGCGCAGCAACGTGAAACCACTTTTGGCAGAGTGGGATCAAGGAGGTTGGGGTGCATTGTGCAGCTCTGTCTTGGGGTTGGTGCCTTTTAGTACTTCACCACTCGGGGAACTTACAAGGTGAAGTGGTTGGATGGACTTGGCCATGCTTTATGTGGTCTGAGCAAGAGCCCCTTAAAACTCCAAACCAAGGATCATTGTTGTATTTGCAGCTCTGTCCTCCCGACGAACATCTTGAAGTTCTCACGTGCCGTGCATTTGCAAGCAGTGCGACTAGAATGCTGCACACTATGTGTGTGTGTGTGTGCATGTCTGTAATGTAGCCGAAAGAACTATACGTACATACATCGTATACGTACCTGCATTCATTCATTCACTGGCACTCAGAGGTTGGTTCGCGGCCTAATTACTTGCAAGGGCATGCTCCGACCCCAATAAATGGGCGAGCAATCGGTGTGCTCCAGAAGTCCGGCGCCGCAATGACCTGTACGTTTGCTCCCTCTAGGAGCAGTCGCCATGCGGTTCTAAGACTCTCCGGCACAAAACGCGAGAGGATGTCGCTCACGGCTGCATTCACCGGGCCATCCCTGACTAGAGCCTGTGCAGCTTCCCAGGTTTCTATCAGGACTACAATGGGCCGGTTTCCGGTCACGTAGGCGACTCTCACTTCGCTCAGTAGCCTCTCCCAGCTGATCTTCTGGACGTCTTTCAAGAACTTCGAGGACACTAGCCCTTCAGCTCGGCAGATAGGGGTTCCACGCCTCCGCTGCTGCACATTGCCGAAGTCGCTAAAGAGCTCAACGAGCTTTTGAAGTTCTGCTTCCGTCCAGAGATCCCCCTCACCTTCTGCCCCAACGATTCCGAGCTCCTCGATGAAGGTCACAACGAGGGACTGTACCTCGTCGGGGTAGAGGGGGTGGATGCCAAAGGCCTTCTGCGGAAAGTCCCCTGTGGCAATCTCAGCACGCCTGTTGTCGGGGTCGAGCAGGATTGCTGAGATGTGGTCGTAAGTAGCCCGCATGGCCTCACTCCAGGGGTCCCCCGCGATCTCCGGCAATCCTTCGGACACCTGACAGGGCACCGCAAGAGTGTATTGCTCATTGTCTCGTTGTTGCCAAGCTCTGCTGCCTACTCCATCTGGCGGTTCTGAGGACTGTTGTGCTTTATGCAATCGTAGACGTCGTACACATTGTGGGTGGTCCCGCAGGTGAATGGCTAGTCTATTCACCGACCAATACTGACGACCGCATGCTTGACAATGCGTTCCACTGACAAAGCCGCGGTATGCAGCTCTTCTCCCGTGGCTCTTGAAGAAGTGCACACTCAGTCGAGAGCGTGTGGAGAAGGTGCGGTCGCACATCAGGCATGTCCACGGGGCTTCAAGCTGTTCCTGACATGGCATACTCTTGATGGCTTCCTGATACATCCACCAAAGGCCAAGCTGGGGCGCTTGGTCCTGCTTGTAGGATCCAAAGTCATCAGCAGTACGCTGGGCCACTCGTCGCTTGAAGCGGCGAGGATCCTCTCGTAAGTTTCGCCACCATTCAGGCCATGAGGCTTCCTGACAAGGGGGCCAAGCCTCACGCGCACCCTCGATGACCCACAGTAGGTCCTTCCTCACACATTCTAGCCAGCTACCCTCAGCTTGGAGCATGGCCCAAAGCTGCGGCGGACCTCTCAGAGCGATGGACAAGAGAAAGCTCAGTCTTGATTTCCTTGCAAACATCCCAAAAGGTGGGCTGTCGACTAGGATGTGTATCAAAGGGCCCGGTAGTTTGAAGATCTCCTCATCCGTGAAGGCATTTGTGAGGAGGCGTCGGAGGAGGCGCGTATAACCTCCTTCCAGCTTGTCCCACTCAACACCTCCAGGCACCCACAAGGCCGCATTGAAGAAAGTAGGGCGGACAGCCGCCTCAAACACATCCTTGCGCGCCGCCAATGAAATGGTGCGGTTGTTCAGGATAAGGGTCTTTGCGGCGTCATACGCTGCCGTGGCAATGGCCAATCGTCTTCGCGCCTCCGCGGCAAGGCAACCCCGGTGGTCGAGCAGGCCACCCAAATGCGTGTACGTTGGAACGGTTTCAACATGGATCGCCAAGTCAGGCAAGTAGATCTTCGAACCTCCTTGTGGGAAGTAGTGTCGCTTAGCCTGCTGCACACCGCGGCCTACAAGGCGCAAAAGGAGCGATGTTTTGCCCCTTTTCACATTGGGCTCCATACCCAAGCTTTGGCAGTGGGCAATGACAATCGAAGACAGGCGTGCCGCCTTCCTGAGCAATATCCCCGGCTGGGCATCAATCAATGGAAATGCACTGTCATCTGCCCAAGTGCCGTCCTGAATCAAGACCGGATCCCCGGTGTGCCCGTTGCCGTACAAGCCCGCTGCTCCATCGTAGAGGAGGTTGTCAAAGAGACCCTCCCCTGTAGCTACCTCGGTGATCTGCTGTAGAACTCGTTCGTAAGCAAAACCGAAGACAAAGTCGGCGAAATTCTCGCCTGGACGAGAGCCGGCTTTGGTGATACACACCCGGGTACCGTCTCCGTAGCAAGTAGAAAACCATGCCACTCTGTGGAAGTCTCTGATGACATGGCGAATCTCGGCAGGGACTCCACCATCCTGCATGATCCCTCCCTGCACTGTCTCCTTGTAGAGGGCGTGGATGTCCTCTGGGGGGATGTTGAAGTAGGCGAACAGCTTCGCGATGGCAATGTCCTCCGTGATCCTTCCCATGCATATCTCTCGACATACACGATAGTACGCTTGTCTCGTGTCGAGGAACAGGACGCCAAAAGAAGATTTTTGTCTAATGGCCCGTCGGATGTGGCCAAGAATCAGCATCGCAGGGAAGGTAACTGGTGCTCCTTTCTTGGAGCCCAGGTGCAGGGCGTGAAATGCCTCTTGCGGAAGATCACCTACTTTGGTCTTGCACATCTTGTGCAGGCACTTGCCGAGGAGGTTGGAGACGTAGAGAGACCGGTAAGCTTCTGGACGGCTAGCATCAGATTGTCCCTTCCATGCATCGTACAACAATCCACCTCGCCAGTGAAACGGTTGTTGCAGGCGGGCAACTGATTTCAGCATCAGAGCATGGACAGCCCTGGACATTTCCGCAGGCACTGCTCTCAGCAGTTCTGCAGGTACCATATCTGGTCCTGTGGCTTTGCCCTTAGGTAGGGATCGCAGAGCTTCTTCGACGTCCAACGGGGATGGGAGCTGCCAGAGCTCCCACTCAAGTTCCTGGTCCTGGATCACAGGCGGCTGGGGCCGCTTCAAGAGATCCTTGAGCAGGACAATGTCTCCACACTCTTGCGCTCCAAAGTGGCGTAGCCACAGCGCGTCACGACCAGTCTGGTCCACTACAGGCTGGTCCTTTTCATCAAGGAGTGTAGGCAGGCGGCGACGAAAGGTCTGCTTTTCTTTCCGGCCTAATCCTGCCCGCTTGAGGTTCGCAAGCATACGATTGGCTCCCGTTTGTGGGTCGTATCCCTGCGCTGCCGTCTGGAGGAAGTCATTCTTGGCCCGCCGAATGCCCTTCTTGGCTAGGAACGTGGCGGCCTTCACTGCTGCTGCAAACCACCCGTAGAGCAAGTGGTGTTTGCGAACCGCGGCCAAAAGTAGGTCGCTGCCAGCTCCATATCGCCAGCACAGAAAGGCTGCATGAAGCAGGACCCGCCATCCACGACGCATGTGCCCCGTCCGCTCCTTCAAGGCGAGCTTACTCGCACGAGTCTCCCACACGTGGTCGGGCACAAAGGAAGCCCGTGGGGCGTCATTGGGCTTTCTGAAATGCTCCTCAAGCAGGCCATGCAAGTGATCAAGTAGATGCTGGCAATGATGGTCAGGGTGGAGTGACCAGTCCGGGGGCCTATAACCCCTAAGGCTGCCAGCAATGACCCGTCTGCCTTCAGCTGATCCCATTTTCTCGCGGTCATAAGAGGATCGCCGGAGTCTTGACTTACCGCCTGTTCGACACCGAGCCTGGAGATGAAGCAGGACTAGGTGGTGGTCCTCATTAGGATTCATAGTGTCGAAGTCATAGCGGACTTCACTGACAAGGCGAGAACACTCCGAGGTCCCCCCCAGAAGGACGTAGTCGATTCTGTGGCGCCCGCCAGAGGGATGGCAATAGGTGAAGCTATCACCTCGATGCAGAGAGCAATGCGTAGCTGGCGCCCAGATTCTCAAGCCTTGGCAAAATCTGGCGAGGCGATTCCCCGCTTCATCTGGTTCCCCATAGCCCAGATCACCAGAAACTTGTGGCCATCCGGAAGGGAGCCGCGCATTCATGTCAGCTCCAATGACTACCAAAGTGGCAGACTGGTATTGACTCAGCAGGCCTTCAAGCTCATCAAGAAATCGCTGGCCTTCCTCTCCTTTAGCTGCGTGGGGGCAATGCGCGGAAACTAGCACAATTTGGAGTCCCCCAATCCTGACCTCGAGGATCAACAAACGCTCAGTTTCCGCCCGAATAGCAACCTCATGCGCCCCAACAGTCAACGGTTTGCCATCAACCGTGAGGATGCCACGCCGGCGATGGATCCATAGGGCTACACCCCAATGTCGCAAACCCTCCGTCGCCAACCGCATGTACAACTTGGAGCAGCAGAACGAAGCAGACTGTTTTGTTTCCTGCACCATTACAATTTGACAACCCAGGGCCTCTAATTGTGCTTCGTAGAAGGGGTGCTTGCCGTGCATGCCTTGCGCATTCACAGTGGCAACCTTCAACTCAATCTCGGCTGGCCGCTGCTCGGTGCCCCATTGCTGAGCTTCGACTGGGAGTACTTGGTCAGGTCGGAGTGGCGGGGCTGCAGCAGGGAGCGGTGCAGAGCTCCACACCAGAGCACCATCTCGAACTGGCAGGCTTCCATCTGCAGCTCCACGTTCAGCAGCTGCCAACCAGCCCAGGTCATTCACGAGAAAGGTCTGGCATACTTCCTTCGGAGGACGTGCCACAGCCAGGCTACCACCAGCCCCTGCTTTGGCGACGGTATCCGCAAGTTCATTCCAGGGCTCTCCTTGGTGTGCGGCAACGTGATGAAACCGAATCCCTCCATTCAATCGGTTCCTCGCCAAGAGCTCAAGTGAGTGGATCTTGGAGGCAAACTCGTCGGTGGGGTTCCAGTCTCCATTGGCAGCCCAGCCTGCTGCCATGCAATCGAAGTGGCAATAATGTGCAACTCCAGGGAACGAAGAACTCGTCTGCAAGCTCCACAGGATTGCAACGGCGAGGGCGACCTGTTCACATCGCAATGCGGCAGGGCCATCGCTTGGCCAAGTAGGGCCACAGGGGTCCTCTAGAGCCCCACCAATGAGGCCAATCAAACTGCTGGCGAGGCCGATACTCAAGAGAATGACGACTCCATACCCCTTACGGTCGCCTGGTCCAGCTGAGCCGTCCGTGTAGACATGAAAGGCCACCGGCGTCGAGGGTCCGATCTCCTGCATCGCCTCAATCCAAGGTGTTAGCTCAGCAAGTCCTCGTTTGGTGGCCTCGTGGAGGTTGAGCTGGGCCACATCAAAGAAGATATAGTCCGCCGTGGGCCAGGGGCGCGAGAAGGCGTCTCCATTGAGGCTGCCGTGAGGGAGGGGCACCTGGTGGTCTGTTAGGTCATAGACCGGGACCTGCACAAAGCTGCTCAACTCAAGGACTGTTTTGGCATCTGCTTCTTCGGCGGCAGCAGGTTCTCTCGGTGACCGGCTGCGGTTGACAGGTTCTGGAGGTGGCGGTCCGAAAGGCCCAGGGCCTTGAGGCGGCATCCCCTGGCCTGGGGGTTCAGGGTCTATGTCTGAAGTAGATCCGTCACCAGCATCTGGATCACTTCCCTCCTCACTGTTGCCCGAGTCGCTTGTAGATGTGGCGAGGGCAGCTGTAGGCCTCATCACCACAGTAAGCGTCTCCCCGTCGTAGATGTCGATCCATCCTCCACCTCTGCTCTGGCCTCCTTGTACGATGATGCTGAAGCCCTCGACTGCTTCCAATTCCAGGCTCTCAACATAGTCTCCCGGGTGGAACCGGCCATTGTCCGTGGCAGTCCAACAGAAACCTCGGCCAACCGCCCGGAGGTCCAAGAAACCGATATAGGTCCGATCCCTCGGGTGTTCCGTGGGGTCAACAACAGCTATGACTGAATGAACTCTGCGCCCTCCAATGTACATTCTTTCCGGACGGTGTGTTGGTGCCCTCAGCCAAAACTCACTGTGCTCAAGCCCAAATAATCGGCCAGCGACTATGGCTGGGTTGGAGGGGCTGGCTCTGTTCACCTCATGCAGAGCTGACCTCTCCTCCATCTGGAATTCAACAAAACGCCCTGGCAAGTTGCCAGGGTGTGTCGTATCCGGGTTCCACAGGTCACCGTCATCATATCTTTCGGTGATGTCACTGGCCCATTCTACCACATCTCCGCGTCTAAGGATCTTAATCAGCGTTCCATTTCCAACCCAAACATACGCATCGTGTGCCATGGGGACCATGGAGCCGCCAATGTAAACCTCAACGTCGTCATTGAAATCAAGTCTCGCGTGTCCCAACACAAATCTCCTCGAGACTTGGCCTTGCGCGAATACCGAGAAAAGTCCACGGTTGAACCGACGGGCATCAATGACAACCGCTTTATTGCTTGTGGCAAGGAGGCCTGCAGGCAGCAGCAGGTAGCTACCATAGTCCTCGTGGATCTGGGGCTGCAGGGCGACCGTCTCAGTCAGGTAGTCAGTGCCCAGACCCCGGGAAGCATCAACAATGATGTCACTCAAACTCTGCCCAGTAAGGGGAAACATCAAAGCAACATCTAATCTTTCAGGCTCAAATCCTGGACTTCCCACCCACAGCGAGATATGCGTGGTTCGAAGGGCATCAGCCTCAATCTCGTGGAACTCAATGTCCTCCTCGCCATCCGAAACATCATCGACCGGTTCAGGCGGGTTCTGCTGGGCTCTGGGTGGTCCAGTTTCATGGACTCGGGACGGCATGACTCCTCCACTTTCGACTCTGAGCCCGTAGTCCCTGTCCCCGGAGCGTAGGAGCAATTGCTCCCTGGGTGTCAACTGGCCCGCCGCCCAGATTTCTAGATCAGTCGGGTGGCGCCAAGAACTGTCTTCCACAGGGCCAGGAGCACGGCTCGAGGAGCTGTGTGGCGCTCCGTGGGCCGGGCTCCATATGCCAGCGATAAGGAGACCTCGCATCATCCAAGGCATCTTGGCCCGCCTGCCCGGCATGCTCCCAAAGGGCCGTGTTCGCCGGCAGTAACAGACCATCAGCATGCCACTGGCCACGCACCATATAACCCGTAAGGTGTTGCCAAAACTCACGACACTCTGTTCCACAGTCTCCGCCAGGAAAACGACAATGTCCCGGAGGATCGGCATGACAATGGCAACAACGTCCATAAAATCGTAGATCCTGCCGTAGGAGGAGGCATTGGAATAGAACGTCTCCTCAATTGCTTTCAGCTCTCTCCGTGCATCTTGGGGCGATCTGGTGGACTGACCGAAAAAGCCACCAATCTTGAGGTCTCCGGCCTCATCATACGATAGTCTCGGCCTGTGCGGCAAAAGGCCGCCCCACTCGCCGTACCATCCTCGCCCACGTTCACCACGGTCTACTCTTCTCCCGCCGCGGTCCTTGCGCGGAGGTCGCTCAAGATGTCCGCTTCGTCCGACTCGCTGTCGACCGCCATGGACTCGGTCAGGGCTCCTTCCCTGGCCTTCTCGAGCTTGTCCGCTAGGGTCCTGCCGGTCTGCGGGAGGGACGGGGATCGTCCCTGATTTTTGACTGCCACCCGAGGCTGCCCAGCTTTTGGTCGCACCTTGCTGTGATCCGGCTGCAACAATCGTGTGCTGGGAGATGCCTGGTAGGGTTCCTTGTTCGGGACTTCCGCTTCGTAAGAAGGCACTTTGCGGGCCTCCGAGCCTTCCGCCTGAGCAACACGAGTAGTCGCTGGAGGCGTCATCTCCGGGGCCCGGGCGGTCTTTGCAGGTGGTGTTGAGGCGCCATCCCCGCCGGGTGCCTGGATCCCCAAGGCTTCCATCATTTGCCGTCTGGCTGAATCGCGAAGAGGGGCTCCATCTCGGATCGCTTTGGCAAGTAGGCCAGGTAGGTCTGCCACCGGGTTCTCGGCGCTGGCCATGAGCTGTGCCCACTCTGCCTCCGCCTCCTCGTCCTTTTCCACAGGAGCCGTTGCTCTCGAACGCTTGCCAGGGTTCTGGAAGAGGTCCTGCAACTCCGCGATGGCTTCCTCCTTCATCTGCTGCTGCTCCGTGGCCTCCGTCTGGATCTTCTGGAGGCGGTCGTAGTACCTCGTCCTTTCGCGGATAAAGCTCTGCTTCATCTCGACTTGGAACCGCTCCCATTGGCCCTTGGCAGCTTCCTTGTCTGCCTCCCCTTTTCGCATCCGGCCATCTGCGCGGCGGATCGTGTTTGCCAAGCGCTGGATGTAGCGGGTGAGGCTTCCCGAATCTCCTGTATCTTCTGCAGCAAGAGTCCAATCCGCCTCTGGAGTTGGCTGTGGCTTCGCGGCACGATATTCCATGGCCTCGTAACTGGGGAACTTGTAGTCCGCCGCGTCTCGGTTCTTCCATGGTTGCTTGTTCTTGCCCTTGTTGCTGCCCTTCTCGTGCCATCCATAGTACGCTGATGCCGAGGATCGCGAGGCATCCTGCCATCCATCGCCGTTGCCACCCCATTGTGGCTTCTTGCCCATGTGTCGGGCTTCACGGTAATACGGTCTGCTGTGATGTTGAATCAGCAGCCGCAGATCGCGGGCAGAGGGCTGAAGGCCTTGTGTTCTGGCCTTGTGTATTCGGCCCCGTGCGGCCGATCGGCTAGCTCGTTGTCGACGATGCCAGCCTGGGGATCGAGTCCCGCGCCGCAGCCCAATGGCTGCAAGAGGCGTGCCTAATTGTTCGGCACTGGGGCTGCCGGCTATAACTGCAGACTTAGCTGCAGCCTCGCTCCGAAACCCTACGTACCTGCATACATACATACATGCATGCATGCATGCATGCATACATACGACATACGCATGTGTATGGACAGAGGGAGAGAGAAAAGGCTTTCAATGATGGCAAACCATCATCGAAAGCAATGGCTGCTACATGAGTAAATCTTGTGGCACCTTTTTTTGTGGAGTGAGGGTCTATCGTGTGTTTTTCCGGGGCATATTCATTACTCGGTGGATTTCCGGGGGACGTCTCTAATGCTGTTTTGGCCCGGAATTGTCTTTGGTTTCTTACCTTTCTGCTAATGGTCAGTCACAGTTAACGCACCCCAAAAATCTCAGCCCTCCAATCCGGAAGCCACACAGCCCTAAGCTCCATCACCCTGTAATAACAGCACATGCTCTGAAGGGAGCCCTGATCCCTAAACCCTATAACCCCACGCTGAGTAAGAGGACCCATCTAGAACCCTGAATTCTAAACCGCGAACGCGAGGCTGTCCGAAAGGAGCAGGAGGAATCAGGCTCGGGTTCCAGGTGGCATGTACTTAGAGATTGGGTTTAGGGCCCAAACCCCGCGCCCAAACATATGCAACCGGGACACAGGACCCAAAACCACCAAGCTCGAAAATCTCCCCAGCCAGCCACGAACCCCTTTAGCCTTATACTGAGACCCCAAAGCCCGTCCTCTTACCGCCAGCCACTGGGGACAGCTCCCTTTTGAGCGGGTCGAGCCTGCAAGTCGCTACAGTGCTCGTGGAAACACTCGATGCAACGAGGCCATGATTAGGAACGACTTTGCATGCATGGTACCATGTTTGAGTGTCTGCAACAGGCACATTGGGGGCTGGAACACTTCCCGAATTGTTGGCGGCACGAGGAGAACTGGAGTTCTTCCGATCCTGAGAGGAACCAATCAAAACTGGAGTGAGGAATCGGGGCGCATGCATCATCAAGTCCAGGAAGAGCTCCGAGGGCTTGATGACTTCGGAGGAGCATCGGGGCCTGAAATCTGCAGTGAGTATACATAGCCTACATTCAGATTCATGTGCTGTATGTAAGTATGTATGTATGTATGTGTGCAGCAGTGTGCGCACATACATGTATGTGTCCAGAGAGAGAGAGAGAGAGAGAGAGAGAGAGAGAGAGAGAGAGAGAGAGAGAGAGAGCGCGAGAGACAGAGACAGACAGAGAGAGAGAGAGAGAGAGATAGAGAGAAAACAAAAAAAAGACAGACAGACAGACAGACGGACGGCGGGAGAGCGAGAGACACAAAGAGACAGCTAGAGGCCGGCAGACGATGTGAAAGTGTGTGTGTGTGTGTGTGTGCACGCGCGCGGGTGTGTGTGTGTGTGCCTGTGCAAGTCCACAGACAGAACATTCATCTCGCTCGCTCGCTCGCATCAGGTTGCATGTAGACCCAGACCAACAACGATAGCTGCAAGAACACCTGTGTTGGAATATTCAGACTTGCTTCTGCGCCCAGCCATGAAACAAATCACAACATCCTAGGGCTTCGGGTTGGGTAGTCATGCGCAGGAAACGCAAGCTGTACGTACTCGGAAAACACTGGACATTTGGTATTTAAACCACGACGCTGTCCAGCGAAACACAAGGAACAGAACTTCGAGGAACCACACCGAAGCTGAAGGCCAAAGCTCTGAAGCTTCTTTCACTTCGTCTTGGTGGCGACAGACTTTCCGGCAGTCTTTCCACTACCGAGACTGCAATGGTTTGACTGGAAACCGCGGATTACGGTCGCAGACCGCCTCCCCTACCCAAAACGCTACAAGGGGTTGAAGGTTCCCAGCTCGTTTGACAAAGAATTCATCCACTGATATCCCTGAGGCATCTGCACAGGTAGTGCTGACAGCATGTCGCCCTCGCTGATGATCTGATGCGATCATGAAGCAGTCAAGAACGCAAAAACTTACATAATCATACATGAATACACAACCATTAGCACACATAAGCACACATAACCATGCATAAGTAGGCTTACACACATCGGCTTACACAAGCAAACATAGTCTCGCATCGTCATGCATACGTCCGTACATGCATAAGTACAGGTACATACACAAGCATATACACACACACACAAATTCTGTATAAAATCATACATACTCATACATCCACGTCTACATGCATCCATCGATGTATGCCCGCATGCGCACATAGCTACATACGTATACGTAAATACATAAGTCGAACAAGCAATCAAACATACATACATACCTGCACGGATATATAGATACATGCAGGCACATACTACATGCGTGCATACAGACTTAGTACATATAGACAATATATTGAGTACATTCGTTACATACATGCATACACACATGTGCCGATATTTTCGACATACAGACACATAGACACATATATATACGCCAGTAGACTTGCGTATACATCATGAACCCAAACATGTATGTGATATGCACTGCTATGTAAATAGATGTGCATCTCAATCACACACACACACACACATATATATATATATATATATATCATTTCTCTGTCATTTATGAATATATGTACATACACATAAATATAACTATATATACACACACACCTACATCCAGGCATGCATACATGCAAAATACACATGTACATTAATAGTGTAGTGTGCATCCACATAGACTTAAACTTAGACACAGATAGAGTCATGGACAAAGACACGCAGATACGGTCAGGCGCTCTGTGGTCTTTCCCTCCTTCACTCTTCACAGAGCTCCAGGGTGGGTGGCTTTGGGCTCGGGTTTGAGCAATGCCTCCTCGCCTTGTGAGTGTGGGTTTGGCTTGGCATGTGGTGTGACTTCGTATGCAATGACTTCCGGAGCCGAAGCAAAAGCACAGCAGTCACAGGGAGCGCAACCCGAACCCTAAAACGAGACGAGTCGTTTCTGTGAGCGCTGGCATTCTCAGAAATAGAAGTGACAACGGGATCCAGAAAACACAACCTCCACGATCGGACGCTTATGCCTTACCCCTGTAACTGTTCGCATGTAGGTACAAATTCGTGCGCAGGCTTGCTCAACGCGCGGCACATACCGAAGGCATGCAGGAAGCCGCAATACACCTTCTGGGAGGCTTGCTGCGGTAAGAAACGGAATCCTGAACTTTAACAACAAAGGGTTTACCACGAGCCTCTGTGCCAGCTCGCGGGAAGCTCGGCTCTGGCGCCTCCGCACAAGGAGCCGGCAAGAAACAAGCAAACGTATTTCACAACTATGAGCTATCACAGTTCCAACGAGCTTAACAAGAAGAGGTACCGAAGGGAGTTAACGCAACCAGTTGGGGGTTCTGCGAACCATCCCAAATGTTGAGGGGTTCACGGACTTGCAATCCCAGTCTAGTCTAGGCGTCCTGCATGCCAGCCTGGTATGCATCCAGCAGAGCGATGCATGAGCCGCTCGGAACGATCCACTGTAACTGTAACAAAAAGAAGGGAGATGGGCCTGCAATGGGGTCCTCAGAAACACTAATGTTCCTCCCTTCACGGTCCTTGACCGTGCTGTTCGAAAGTGGTACTGGGGAGTTGCCGGGATGTCTGGAACATTCCATGCGTGAGTCGGGTTTGAGGGTATGGTCCGTGATTTAGGGAAACAGTCGTTGGCCAGGTTTCGCCATCTCGCAAGCACGCCCTGCCCTTGCGACGCCTGCTCAGCCACCATGGTGATTGGCGCACCTGCCGGGATGCCAAGAAACTCAAATTGCCGGGACAGTCAACGTCTTTCACAGACTACACTGGACTTTAGACCCCTCCGAAATTTAAGCACTCAACGGCTGGACGCTGTTCGTGGCAGTCTCTTGTGGTTTATGCACGGCGTCGCCCTCCATCTACAAGTCGCTTTGCGATTTCGATCCGAGCCATCTTAAGATATTCTTTAGGCGCTGCCCTTTGGTCTATAGAATAGAATTTGGGCAGAAAGCGTCTGTGCGTTTTGTCCCATGTTTGGCCTCAAGATGGCAGTTCGGAAGCCGGAGCTAAGCCCGCACCTTTCCTCAATGTTCCTCGCGTCCGAACTACGTGACATGGGACGCCCGAAACCAGAAGCCCGAGTCTCGCACCCACAGCTTACTGCGCTGAATCCTAAGCCCAAAAACACGACATGCTAACATCGGAAGCAGTCTCAGTCTTCACCTGTAGGCTTCGCAGCTTCGACTATGCAAGACGCAAATGGCCGCGAAGGCCTCTGTTCTAATCCGGCCTGCCACACTAGCTAGTACAATGTTGAAGCGCTGAAGATAAGGGTTGTTTCATGCGACTGATGAGCGTGCTTACTTACCAAGCAACTTTACGAGCGCGAACCCTGGACATTGCAATAAGTTGCTGTCAGTATGCAAAACTGATGGTCTCTTCGTGCATATGAGCTATAGGCAGATCTGAAAACACGACCATGAAACCACCTGCTATCCAGCTACTGCCGCTCTGGAGCCAACTGGACAAAGACCGCGCGCACTTTCCTGTTGAGGCTTAGTAAGGCTTAGTAGGCTGAAGCACTATATGAAAAGTGGTTTATGCCGATGTTGGGTACTATGCCCGCATCAAAGTAGAAACTCATCGCCATGAGCTCAAGAATGAAGGCGTGCACAAGGATATTGTCCTTTTTGCCTTGCAAGAGAAGCCGATGTCTGTAGCCGCAATCTGTACTTGTCGGCAGCTATTTGCGCGTGGGCCTCGGGCCTGCCTGCCGAAAAAAAGAATGTGACAGACTTGTTGTTGTGTTTTGTGTTAGTGGTCCTGGCTGAGTCGAACGGTTCGGTGATAGGACCCAACAAAAGGAATCCAGAGCTTCATTACTCACAAGAAGTTTTGAAGCTGCCATGCCTGGGAAGGGTTCAAGGGTTCCTCACTTGGGCTTCTGAGTTCGGTTTCTTGTGTCCAGCTAGATGCCGGGGAATCTGTACAGGGTTTATTGCCGCATCATATGCGGTCTTGCAGTTAGAAGTTAGTGGATGCAGAACCAGACCCAGCGCAAACACCATGGCATCATAACGAATTTGCGTGCAGCCTTGTGCGCGCTTTAGGATCTGGCGCCTCCTCCTCCAGCTGCTTGAGATTTTGCTGTCTGTTGTTTATAGGGAATGAACCTTACAGTATGAAGAAGTAAAAGGTCATGCAGGACTGCAATATGTATGAACCTAAAAACATAAATGCACATAAACACATATACATATCTATACACAGATAGATTCGATCGTTCGGCATATAAATATAAATATATATATATATATATATATACACACACATATTGTTAGCACGCATACATAAGCACTTACTTACTTACTTACTTACTTATTACTTACTTACCTACTGACTTACTTACTGTTGCATCCACATGCATCTGTATATACATATATATATACACATGCAAATATCCATATGTACGTACATGCATCGTGCGTATGTATATAACATGTTTATGTTCTTGTGGTGTATACATTCTGTGCGGTCAGGTCTAGTGGAATCCGTCGGCTTATGCACAGATAAGCAACTCATAATTATGACACAAATTCAGCGCTGCCACAGGAGCCTACGTCAAATGATGTTCATAAGCATATATATATATATATAGCCATATAACATACTGATATAGTTATTCAACTATATGCTGTTTTATACCTCTATATGTACACCTTGATATGTCGGCATATCCATCTTGGGGAGTACCGGCAGTATTGCATACATGTTCATGTGTAGAAGCACCTGTATGAACAAACAAGATACACATGGACACCACTATGAACAGATAAGTACATACATGACTACAGCCAGACTGGCATACATGCTGCGTATGAACTACGAACTTGCGTAAGTATGGCACATGCCGAAACTTCGATAATGTGTATATATATATATATATATATATATATACACTGCTTATATGTAATGTAGACTTTCTATACGGACAGCAAGTGGAATCCGTCGATGTATGCACACAAGACCATACTCAATGTCTGCTGCATATACATCTATATGTATATCTTTATGTGCATGCCTATGAATCTTGAGGAAATGAGGAATATGGGTTGCGTTGCACACATGCATAAATGTGGAAGCACCTGTAGGAACAACGGAACGACAAAGATACACGTGAACGCATATATGACTAAATGCGTACATACATGAAGAAATTTAGACTTGTATACATGCTTCATCATATTCATTGTGATCATATTTTAGGAGACATGGCTACATATGCCATGACTCTTTACAGATGAGTAGATGGGAAAAGCCGTAAAGGATCAAGACCTGTTGTAAAAAAACAATGAGCTAGCATAGCAGCAACGGCTTCCATGCAGTGTGTTCCAAGTTGGACATTGCTGCGAAGAACAAAAGTTGCAGATTTCTCGTGAATCGCACTTGACAGAAAGGTCGCATGATGTCCAGATTCACTGTCTGGGAGCAATGCTGCAAGGAAAACCAGCAGCACAACCGCGGAGCAGCAGGTAACCGACCGAAACCAACAGAAATAACAAAAAAACACAAAACAATACCATAAACAAACAACAAGACAGACCCATGCACAGGACAGGGCTGATCATTTTGTTGTTGTGTTGTGTTGCTCTGTTTGGTTTGTTTGTGTTTCTGTAGCTTTGCTTTGTTTGTGTTTGGTCGGATACCTGCTGATCTGCGCTTGTGCTTTATTGCTTGTTTATTGTTTTGATTTTGTGGTCGTGGATTGCAATGCCGCGACGGAAGAAAGCAGAATAACGTCGCACCAAGTAGTGTCGATTTATACAAGTAAGACTTTAAGAAGTACATGTAGGCCAATATGGCGGTACCATATAGATATGTGTATGATGTGCCAATGATGTAATACTTGTATGAATAAACACCACAAACCTCGACCTGAACCCAAATCCAAACCATGAAGCCCAAGCTGTGCAGGCTGGCTCTGACAGAACCCGAGCCCAAACGGATTTCGGTAGGCTTGCCAGATGAGCAGTCTGGACTAGAGCTTTGCCTTAGGTGATTTGGGGTCTCAGAGCTCGCATAACAGACGCTGCAACCTCAAAAACCTTAAAGTTTCAAGTCCAGGTCCTAGGTTGACTCGTGAGCTACCGAGTTGGGGACTCGAAGTTGCGGTGATAAGTGACAAAGGAAGCAAGGAAGCCTGAACCTTTCCAAATCCCTACAGCCGGAAGTGGCTCTAAACAGTCAAAGCCTAACTCCCGGAAACCCGGTTTGTGAGTAATTACTCTGGAGTTGAAGCAGGAGTCACCAGCCGTCGGAGAATACTGGATTGAAATGTTATGCTGCTCAGAAGCCCAACCTTGCAGGCGCAACACTTGAGGGATGCGAGCTGCGGGAGTAAGACAGATGCCTGGTTTGAGAAATGTTACTTGACTTGCACGCAATATGTCTTAAAACCCGCTTCGAAGCAAGGACCGCTGGGGAAAACGCATCAGGCAACCAAAAGCAACAAACATACTAAACATGGGATGGATACTATGCAAAGTCGGACCATGCAACGTGGCTACAAACAGCACTAGGAACTTGCCAGGAACGTTGTCGACGATGGTTGTGCTTTGTCACCCGTCTTGCCGAGCTACAACATCAATTGTTTGGGCATGCTGGCTACGCAATTAAAACACCTCTTGCGCCCGGAAATTCCGCCCCGGGGAATATTTTGATGTCACCACATTTACAAACATGACCGTAACATCAGAAGCCATCTGGTTTGAATATTCTGCCTGGCCGCAAGTCATGTAATGTATAAGTCTTTGCAACAACCATCAATCCATCTCCCTTGTTGCAGGGTTTCAAGATGAGGCAGGAGTCCAGACTCAGCGCCTCAATATTACAGCAAGCATCAGCATGCTAAGCCAATAGCTGATCAAGTCATACTCTCCTGGGACCCTGAAGCAATGCGTGTAAGCACATAGAAAACCGTAGTCCTGATGCCTGATTCGACCGCCATACATACATACATACATACATACAAATATATACACACAACTATATATATAATATAATATAATATAATATAATATAACATAATATAATATAATATAACATAATATAATATGATATAATATAATATAATATAATATAATATAATACAATATAATATAATATAATATAATATAATATATGCATCATATGGGCTTCATTGAGTTGTCGTACGATGTAATGCACGATGGAAATTCGACATTTGTCAAGACGTCCTGAAGATTCCTCAGGCCACGGCCACGTCAGAAGCTTCCTTCAACAAACGACGGGCCGGAAAGACTGGAAAATTGAGGATGGGTCGGTAGGACTGCGGAAAGATGCTTTGGGACCGGTTCTTCCTGATACAATCCATTGCCAAAGCCATCTAATTAATCCGAACGAAGAACCATGACGCGGGCCAACGGCGAATGCCATTGAGACAGGACTTACAAGGCTCCAAGTGCAAAGCACGTGCTCGCAAACAACGTTGTCAGCCACCGCCACGTCTGCTACAGGTTGTCCGTGGCTGTGCCAAAACGAGTCTAGGACGCACAGTGTTGCAGACTCGCATATGCAACAAGGAAAGCCGAAGCACCAAGCTCACCTCCTTGGGCGGCTAGGTGCCAATCGGTCCAAAGATGACTGCTCTGGTCTCAGTGTCCACCAGCATTGAGACCGCTGCAGGCCTTCATCTTGGGACGGCAGTTGGCCTTCACGCAGTGCGTGCACGCCGGCGCCTTGTCGTTGGTGATGCCTGCAGGTGCTGAGCTTGACAAGCCAAACACATGCTGTTTCTACCCACTGTCGAAACAAAGGGAAATGTTTCTGCCGATGCTGAAGACCAAGACACATTGGTTCATGCAGTGGTCCCTCGAGCAGCCCACCAACTGGGCCATGCATGAAGCACAGCCGGCCGAGTAGCCCTTCTTCTGCATACAGTCCTTCCATTGCCATGACGCTAGTCTGTCTTACCCGTACTCCTCATCTCCTTCCATCAGTGCTGGAAAACCCTGCCTATAGACCTTGACCTAACCGCTAGCCCAGCCCCGCGTGGCAAACAGTCCTTGGTGCACGGAAAGCCGGCGGCGCAGGAGCGGCCGCAGTGGTTGAGGGCAGAATCGAAGCTCTTCCTTCCTCCGCCCTTCCAAACCCCCATGTCGGCGGCATCGGTGCAGCCGCCACCCTCGAGCTCAGCTTCCTCCTCCACCTGCGTGGACTCCTCCTCGTCATCCTCCAAGGCCTCCAGGTAGTGGACCTTGATGCCGCGCAGCTGGTTGAGCTCCAAGCTGCAGTCCTGCCCGGCTTCACAGACGTCATCCGACGCCAAAGCTGTCGCCATGTCCTCTCCGAAGGCACCGGCAAAGCTCAAGAACACGAACAATGCTCGAAGAGCCATGGCTGAGAAGCAGGGCTAGCAAGAACGCTTTGAAGATACTTTGAGAGCAAAGTGAGCTAAAAAGCCGGTGCATCGTCATTCTTCATGTCGGCGATGCCGTGAAGCAACAAGGCTTGCACACCCTAAAAATCTCTGGATTGTATGGTGTGAAGCCTCAGGTGCATATAGTCAAGTGCAGCAAGGCTAAGCCGTGCTGCACATAGCGTTGCATCCCAAGCAACCCCAGCAGACAGTTAAGAAAAACATCACAAACTTGAAATGTAGTTTCGTGCCCTTACGGATCTCGCTCTCACTACGAAGCAGCACAGTAGGCATGCACTTCTTTGAGCCAGTGCAAATGCCGCCAGGTCTGCCGGAGGTTCTCTGTGGTCCAGCTCTAGGACACACAGTGTTGCAGACTCGCATATGCAACAAAGAAAGCCGAAGCACCAAGCTCACCTCCTTGGGCGGCTAGGTGCCAATCGGTCCAAAGATGACTGCTCTGGTCTCAGTGTCCACCAGCATTGAGACCGCTGCAGGCCTTCATCTTGGGACGGCAGTTGGCCTTCACGCAGTGCGTGCACGCCGGGGCCTTGTCGTTGGTGATGCCTGCAGGTGCTGAGCTTGACAAGCCAAACACATGCTGTTTCTACCCACTGTCGAAACAAAGGGAAACGTTTCTGCCGATGCTGAAGACCAAGACACATTGGTTCATGCAGTGGTCCCTCGAGCAGCCCACCAACTGGGCCATGCATGAAGCACAGCCGGCCGAGTAGCCCTTCTTCTGCATACAGTCCTTCCATTGCCATGACGCTAGTCTGTCTTACCCGTACTCCTCATCTCCTTCCAGCTGTGCTGGAAAACCCTGCCTATAGACCTTGACCTACCTGGAACGCCATAGTTGCCTACAAAAGTTGCAACTGAGGGCTTGTGTGGCAGTGGCAGCAATTATGGCCACCGGGTTTGGATTCCTGCAACTGCAGGCTCAGGGAGCCCACAAGTCGTTAAATATTGACCCTCATGCTTGTCTACGTCCTTCTAATCAATAGATATAGCTCCCCTTCCTAGATATCCCTGAACACAAAATTCATCTTCAGTGGGGGTAGCCGGGATATCATCGGACTATAGTCACCATAGCACAAACTTGTAAGCCCACACCCACCTCACGAATGCCTTCAAACCCTCCGCACTTCCCTATAAACCCAAAGCTTGACGATTTTCCGCTTCCGCTCACATGTCGCTGCCGTGCACCTGGCGATGCTTCTCGTGGGAGGAGTGCCGGGATGATTAATGCTTGGGGTGTAGAAAGGATTCCGGTTGTTCAGAATTACTACACATATACTCCGGAGCTCGCAGATTTGCTTGGAAAGTGGCACTGTCCGTGTTGAGGGTTGCATCTTCCTAAGTTCCGGATTTTATACAATAGGTGGTATATAAACCCAAAATCTAACTTATATAGCAAAACTATATTTGTCGATGATTCTGCTGAAGATACCACTTCAAATTTAGATAGGTCCATATAGCTTCCAACAGCACCAATCGCAGGACGCTTGCATCAAGACCATCGAGGACGGCTCAGTCGACATTCGTGGTGGAGGCATCGCAACAGGGAAGCTGAAGCAACCCGACCCCGAAGCCCACTCAAAATTGAAAACCCGCCTCTTGCTAACCAAACAGGTCGGATGAGCTGGCTTCGCCCGCTTGAGCTCCCCGAGGCTCGCATCTTCCTGTGTACATTGCCGCACTAGAAGAATAATTCTGCGGGCTTCGAGATTCGAGGGTTCTGCTGACATGTGTGCCAGATTGTGCGAGCATCCTACAAGCATCCGATTCGTTTGCAATCTTGGGTCCAAGCAGGGGCCTTCTGTTCTTTTCCGGGGGCATTGCTCGGGCGCCATGGCCCAAATTCGGTTCGATCGGATGAGGAAGGGCTGGACACAGCTACGGCTTAGCAAAAGCCGGCAGGCAAAGGGTATGCCTTGGGTGAGATGGAATGATGATGAGGATGATGATGAGATCGAGGCCAGTGCACAGACCTTGACTTTGAACTGCCCAATTGTTCATTGTATGTTCGAATGCCTAGAGCAGCTGACTTTGGTGTCGATCGATCGCCTATCCAAAGCAGCAACTTGCTGGCATTACGGGTTGCTTCTGATTGAGCTGTGCCATATTCGGAATTTGGGTTGCTGTTCGTTCCTGCTGCATGCAAGGTAGAACAGTTCTACGTGGACATGGAATGGGAGGCATCTCCGAATCGGCTTTACAAGGACTCTTGGCGACTGAGGAAGCTTTATTCGTACGCCCTTCGCCGTGAAGCCGATGCTTACAAAAGGTCGCAGACTCCTTCGGATTCTCGCTGCAACTAATCGTGCAGGGCTGCTTGCATTCAGTCATGTTTCGTTTGTTAACATTCCAAGACCTAGGGGGAGCCTGTGCAGATGCTCTTCAAGCTTATTCGTTATCTTCGAAATCATTTGCCACCGCCCAATCGAAAGCTCAAGGGTTGCTGCAAGATGATCAGAGAGAGACAAGAGAATGAAAAACAGATGATATGTGAAGGAGATGAGGAGGATGAGGCATGTGAGGAGGGAGGAGAAGAGGAAGAGCCAACAGATGATCCTATAGTGGAAGAAGAAAAAGAAGAGTTGAAGCCGGTGCTGAAGAAGGCAACAAAGTACACAGCCCCGCCGACGGGGCCGGTGAGGAGGATCAAAGCAAAGACAACCGAGGACACCGAGGAGCTCTTGTTTGTGGGCTGTAGTACTACGCCGGAAAGGAAGGAGCTGGACGAGATTCGGCTTAAGATTGCAGCCCTAAAGCTTGGCGAGCCCGAACCTTACACTGATCATTCCAGTTGTACGCATGCTAATAGTTCTCGCCCTCTATAACAAAGCCCTGCCTATGAATTGGTAACATCAGGTCGACCAGTGGGAAACGAAAGTCTCCATCGCCATCCCCCGCGACATCGCCCGCAACATCGCCCGCAACATCGAGCCCTTCGGTTGATTAACTGTGGAGCTTCAGTGTTTGATCTGGCTAGCCATTAGCACAATCTAACAAAGGCGGAGCCTCCAACTCGAAGAAGCGACGATCGGCTGCCAGCACCTGCGACCCGAGCGAGGCATCGTGCTTCGCAAGAATAGCATGTGCATGACCCCTGAATGAAGTGTTTCATTTTGCACGAACACACCCGCAAACTTTTCCTCTTTAGCTTGATCGACTGCAGGTGGACACCCAGCCCATGAACATCCTAGAGGCTCAGTCGCCGGCAAGCACACCCGTCCGGAAGGCTGAGAGTTCAGAGACCATGAATTCTTCCCCAAAGGAGCCATGTTGGATCAACTCAATCACCGTGGGGTAGTGTTCTAAACCCTATAGATAACATTAAACTATAGGTAACATTAAATCCGAGACTGATAATCCTAACCTTATGAAACCCTTAAAGCCCTATAAACCTCTAACCAGTTGTGGTTCTTCTTCCGGTTTAGAACAAGCCCTGCTGCGAGGAGCCGGTACCTTCTGTGAACCCCGAGATGCAGAAGAACATGAGACAGGCCAAGAAGGCTGCCATTGCTGAAGCTAAGGGAGCTGGAAAAGGAGCAGGAAAGAAGGGTAATGGCAAGAAGAAGGAGACCGAGGCTAAGGCGGTGGCGAAAGCCACCGCCAAGGCGAAGGCAAAGGCAAAGGCAAAGGCCACAAAAGGTAAAGGGAAGGGATCCGGAGCTGAGTCCGGCACGCCGCCGGGAAAGAAGCCGAAGCAGTCGAAGTCGGCGAAGTCGCCGACGAATCGCAAGCCTGGGGCTCCAAAGGGTGATGATGACGATGAGCCGCAGGAGCCAGGGCGACGCCTGGGTTGCCCAAAGTGCAGGTTTGGCCAGACGGGTTGCAGCAACTGTCGC